ACCCCCCATTTCTTTAATGAGAGAGCCCTACATTTGTTTTCACGACTATAGAAGTTTCAGTCTACATAGGAATATTATGTCAGAAATCGACTTGTCTTCTCTTATCCCTCTGCATCTAAACGAAACGTGAGTAATGTAGAACCACACAGCTGAGGTGATCTTTCATTTCCTCTATCCCTTCACAGTGTGTGAAGAAGGATTCAGGCCAGCATGGTGGCTCACAACTATAATCCCAGCACTTGGGAGGCCAAGGTGGGGAGGGTTGCTGGAGGCTAGAAATTCGAGACCAGCCTGGGCAACATAGTGAGACACCCCATCTCTACAAAAAAATTAAAAATTAGCCAGGCCTAGGTGTGTGCACCTGTAGTCCCAGCTACTTGGGAGACTGAGGCAGGAGGATCACATAATCTCGGGAATTCAAAGTTGCAGTGAGCTATGATCAGTTCACTGCACTCCAGCCTGGGTGACAGAGTGAGACCCTGTCTCAAAAAAAAAAAAAAAAAAAAAGAAAGAAAGAAAGAAAGAAAGATTCAAGATTAGCTTGCGTAGAAGTCATGGATTTTCTGAGTCTGATAATTTCTCGATTGTATTTTCAAACTTTAAAAAATAAATCTCTTGGCCAGGCGCGGTGGCTCACGCCTGTAATTCTAGAACTCTGGGAGGCTGAGGCAGGCGGATTGCTCAAGGTCAGGAGTTCGAAACCAGCCTGAGCAAGAGCGAGACCCCTCTCTACTATAAATAGAAACAAAATTAATGGCCAACTAATATATATAGAAAAAATGAACCGGGCATGGTGGCATGCCTGTAGTCCCAGCTACTCAGGAGGCTGAGGCAGGAGATTGCTTAGGCCAGGAGTTTGAGGTTGCTGTGAGCTAGGCTGACGCCATGGCACTCACTCTAGCCTGGGCAACAAAGAAGACTCTGTCTCAAAAAATAATAAATAAATAAAATAAAATAAATCTCTCCATGATGAAATAACACAAACCAGCATAGTCTCATATGAGCTCTCTTTAAATTCTGACAATAGTCCTCATTATAGTTTGAAGAAACTGAGGCTCCAAGAGGTAAATAATTTGCAAAGATCATATGATTATTTCCTTATGTCTCAATGGGAAAAAACAGATCACATGAATAGTAACAAAGCTGGGACTGAACCTGGGGGAGTGGGTGAGATAACAGCGGAGATGCAGGATTGGATGAGACAGTAACAGCTGAGAAAGCACCTTAACAGCACCTGAAACACACCAAGGTGCTCAGCAAAGGAGATTTCCATTCCTTGTCATTTTCCATTATGTCATATTTCCAAAGTGACAGAAATAAAACAGGAAAGTCTCTTCCCTAACCCACGTTTCCAGCACCAGTCAAGGAGCAACTTGTCAGGAGGAAGCCACTTTCTTCTCCTCCCTTGACTCTTGCCCCAATGAGATTTAACTGGTTTAGATACAAAGTCACAACTTGCTCTGGGGCTGGGCTGCAGGAATCCAGTACTAACCACAGAGGCCAAGCAGGTAACTCACATGACTGAGAGAAGATCGCTGGGTCAAAGAAAACCATACCTCAAGTTTGAAGAAAAGGGGAAACTGATCACCTACGTGTTGATGACGTAACATCAAGTGCTGGGGACCATATCACATAGGAGGGCAAAAAAGAGGGGGAGGGCTGCTGCCACTCTGCTCTATGACGTTGCCATGTGGGAGTGATGAATCCAGTGTTGACAGGTCTTCTGGTTTTGAAAGAGAAATTAGGAACTGATTTAAATGGGAAATATCCCACTTTTGAAGTGTGGGAAATGAATGCAAAATGTATTAACACATTGACTACCACACTAGAAAAAAGAAATTTTTCCCTGGGGCCATGGTGTTTTATTAAAACAAAATGATTATTTCTAATTTGTCATTTTTTATTGTTTTCTGTGCATGAGTTATATGCAACACAATCCACTTTTTTCTTTTTTTTTGAGACAGAGTCTCACTCTGTTGCCCTGAGTAGAGTGCCATGGCGTTTTTGGTTTTTTCTTGAGACAGAGTCTCACTCTGTTGCCCAGGCTAGAGTGCTGTGGCATCAACCTAGCTCACAGGGCAACCTCAAACTCCTGGGCTCAAGTGATCCTCTTGCCTCAGTCCCCAAGGTAGCTGGGACTACGGCAATACGCCACCATGCCTGGCTAAGTTTTTCTATTTTTAGTTACCCAGCTAATTTCTTTCTAATTTTAGTAGAGACAGGGTCTCGCTCTTGCTCAAACTCCTGAGCTCAAGCAATCCTCCCGCCTCAGCCTCCCAGAGCACTAGGATTGCAGGCATGAGCCACCCCACCTGACATACTCCAATTTCTTTATGAGTTCTTTTCCTATCAATCTAAGTGTATTCTGAACATAAAATATTTTAAATGGTAAGACTTTTCTAAGGCAGATTTGAAAATGGTTGTATTAGAAAAAGACACAAATTGAATACAGAAGTTTCTCCATGGGAAAAAGCTCAATGTTCTTCCCACCACCTCTGCCACATTTGATTTCTCCAACTTTTTAAGTTTGTTCCCCATGGCTTCCCTAAGAATGAAAACCATAGCAAACAAATGAGCTTAAGGACATCTGGGGTTAAAAATGCAAATAAATAAATAAATCGAAATGTTAACATGCAATGGTCTAAATACTCAAGATTCATGTTAATGCATTCAATTATTGTATATGAGATTTTCATTGATGAGTAGGGCTCTGGGCATAGCAAATTATCACACAAAGCATTGCCTTTTGAGACTTTGGAAACTTTTACAGTTTAATTTGCAAATAGACTTTTCATAACAAATTACTTTTAATAAAATCATATCTTGAAAACCATTTATAAAAAACCCAGGGAATAAAGTGAACAGTTGTTCATTGTGGAAGGCCTTAAATTACATAATTACAGTAGAAAATACAGGAGGTAGAAGATAACTAAAAAGACTAATGCAACATTAGATTCAAATCTGTAGCTCCTGTAGCTACTTAAAACATGGTTTTAGAAACTAAACCCAACATTTCCAGTAACCATAGCAATAGTTAAAATAAAATTTGCCATGAAAGCCCTTATATCATGCTTGATATAGGAAGGTAGGAAGATGTAAGACCCAGGACACATGAGACATGACATCTTGTCTGCAGCTCCTGTTTGCTTTGCTGAGAGTATAGTTTCAAAATTCAGTCACCTTCTTCACCTTCAGACTCAAATACTTCTTCAACATTTATGAGCCACTCTACAAACTTCTTCATTTGCTCAAGGAAGACATTTTTTCCCTTTGTAACATGTGCATCATTATTCCACTTCAGAATGGGCTCTTCACTCAGGACTTCAGCTTTATTAAAAGACACCACTATTTTCTGGAAGGCTTTCATGAAATGAATGTTTGTCATGGCAATATTCCTGCACCTTCAATAACAGAGTCAGCTCAGACTGACCTTGGGTGGTAAAGACAGCAAGTAGAGTGCTGCATTGCTTCAAGTGCTTGATGGCTTGCTCTCCTAAAAGCTCCTCTCTTTGTTCCATCCCACGGTGCTCATTACACTTGACCAGACTATCCCAGTGACAACCGGTTCTGGGATGTTTTTTTTCAACTCCTCCTTGACATGTAAAATTATATGCTTAAATGGACCACCAGGAGACACCTGTTCTTGAAGTTTCTTCTGGAGCCCCCTCCAAGCTCCTATGGTTTGCTGATTCCGAACATACTCTGAAAGCTCTTTCAAGCCTGCTGCAGTAAAATACTTTGCAAAGTGTTCAACGCTTTGCTTATTGTCAGGCAAGAGTTCTATCAGTCTGTTATCCATGCTGACTTTCCGAAGTCTTGCAGCTACTGCATTGATATCTTTTTTGTTTATCCATGATTTAAAGAGCTTTACAGCAAAAGCTACTGAGACCCCTTCTTTAACCAGATTCTCATTATAAAGGCTATTGAGAATGGATGCATTAAGTATTCCAGTAGCCAGAAGAACACCAGTTAACATAGCTAGCTTGCTCCTCTCCAACTCTGAAAAACCCTTTAAGAACAGCACATTTATAATCTAGAGCAGTGATTTCAAATGATACTGTGGCAGTGGCCACCTTCCTCACATGGAATCTCAGACTGAACCCCACTATGTAAACCACCCAGGCAGAGCTGCCCAGGAGGGAGCAGAGGAGCAATCTTAGAGCCCCACCCGATGCACTCGCTTTGCCTCTCCCTGCCATTTCCAGCAGCCCTACAAGCAACTCCATGAAAACTCTACCCCACGGTGGTTCCCAGCCTTCACCCATCCACACCGCACTCCACCCTGTGAAACAGCCTTCCAAACAAACTGCATTAAGTAATCAGTAATATGTGTCCTCTTTTTCTCATTCTATAGATACATATGGTTGCCGCTCAAAACTTCTAACCAGAATTAGATAACAATTGAGAAAACATTGAATTGAGGGTGGGGTGGGAATAGCAAAAGTTGATACTGTCATTGGCCATATGGTGGAAAATACTGGCTTTCGATAAGGTTTTTTTCTTAAGTTAAAGGTATCTCTGATACCACCAATGCTGGGTGTGTGGGACCTTTATTCCAACTAAGGTTGCCAGATAAAATACTGTATTTTGATTCGCTAAATCAGACCCCCTAATTCCAATCCACTCATCTTGTGCAGTGGGCTAGCGGTGGGGCACTTGGTTGAAATTAAGACCAGGCAATCTTCATTAGATAAGTTAATGACCCCTAACATCAGCCAATCAAAACAAGACAACATCAGCTTTTTAAGATTTTTGTGGAGGATGGGCATGGTGGTTCACGCCCATAATCCTAGGACTCTGGGAGGCCCAGGCAGGAGGATTGCTTGAGCTCAGGAGTTTGAGACCAGCCTGAGCAAGAGACCCTGTCTCTACTAACAATAGAAAAGTTAGCCGGGCATGGTGGCATGCACCTGTAGTCCCAGCTACTTGGGATACTGAAGCAGGAGGATCCCTTGAGTCCTGGAGTTTGAGGTTGCCGTGAGCTAGGCTGATGTTGCTGTATTCTACCTGAGGCAGCAGAGACTCTGTTTCAAAGAGGAAAAAAAAAAAGATATTCGTGGGGAATTGGAGAAATGATTTGATGTTGTAAGAACAGTTTGAAAAACTACGTATTTCTTTAACTAGATTTGAGATTCCCTGGGTGAATTAAGAATGATGGTTTTGAACATTCCCAGTCTTGAAATTTCATCCACACAGTATCCCTGAGATTGTATTCAAGGGATGACTGGGAGTATTTGGTGAATCATGAAGATGTCCTGAGTTTTTATGCCTCCTTCTGTATATATATATATATTTTTTTTTATACCCACTGGGAACAAGAATCCTCCTGTATTCCACTTAAGCCTGGCAACTTGCCCAGGTGCAGTTTCCTGTCTTTGCTGCTCATTTCCACTTCCCCTGCTGTCCTTTCTTCACCATACTACACATGTCCTTTGCTGGTTAGTGAATCTCGGTGCTGTCTTCTGGCTTTGCAACACATAGATTGCAAAATTTGGGGACAGGTTTTCTCTTGAGATATAAACTGGGTAGAAAAAAAAAGGGAAAAAAAGAAAATCCCCAAAAAACAAGAGATAACAGAAAAAAAAAAAAAGACACAGAAAAAACAAAAAAAAGTTAACAAACCCAAAGAAAAATTAACAAACAAAATAAAATTTAATCAATTTTGAACGCCCAAAAAATTTAAGAAGGTAAAAAAAAAAAAAAGTAAAAACAACGAAGGGGGAACAAGCCAGGGGGGGGTCAAACTTCAAAAAAAAAAAAACAATCCGGAAAATAAAAAAACGCCCCTTGCAAAAAAATCCGGGGTACCCTAACTGTGTAGGTTTTGCAATAAATCAAGGTAGGAGATATACATGGTGTCATTAATTTGTCGCCCAAAGCTGACAGGTAGTGGCTTTAGATATTGCCCAGGATCCGAGCCTCAGGCAAATTGTTGCTGGTCTTCTAAAAAATGTAACCAACCTTAAGGTACAAATTTTGTGATGTAACTTTGTTACTACTTTTTACTTTTTTCTACCCTTAATTTATTTTATTTAATTATAAAATGGCAAATTATAATTGTATATATTTATGGGGTACAAAGTGATGTTATATGTATATAATGTAGAATGATTGAATCAAGCTAATTAACATGTCCATCACCTCAAATATTTACATTTGAAATTTACTGTCTTAGCTATTTTGAAATGTACAACACATTAACTGTAGTTACTGTGCAATGCAATTGATCTCAGAAAACTTATTCCTCCTATCCAACTGAAACTTCGTACCCTTTGACCAACAACTCCCCATTCTCCCAGCCCCAGGTAACCGCCATTCTACTCTCTACTTCTATGAGTTCAATTGTTTTAGATTGCACGTATAAGTGAGATCATGTGTCTACACTTAATTTCTCTTCATTAAAAAATAAAAACTTCTTCAGTTTGCATAGTGACTTTCAGGTAAAAAAAAGAAAAACTTCTTGTATTTTGAACATTGTAGGAAGACATCTAAGCTGTATTTTAGAAAAATGTAGGCTGGGAAGAGGAAAAAAGGGAGTAGGAGAATATTTATTCTTCCATCAGAGACCACAATTATGTTCCAGAACATGTAGGAAATTCTGTATGAAGCTAGAGCTAAGAAAAAAATAAAGTGGGTTTGAATTTATATCACTACAGGCAGCCCCAACCTAAGAAGCAGTTGTGTAATAAAAGTTTATTCTCTAAGGTGTTGTTCAGAGCTCAGAATTTATTTTTCCACCGAAACAACATTATAAATGATTGAGCTCACAGATCAGCCATGAGAAGTCAATTTAACTACATTGTGAATGTAAAGGATAGGGCCTATGCTTTTGTTTCAAGTTCAACTAACCACCCTTTCCAGTATGGTTCTGATCAGAAGACCTAGGTCAAGTTCCAACTCACAATACCAGGCACATTTTTATGCCCATTTCTCTTATGCTCCTGCTTTAAAATTCCCAGCAAGAAATGCCAGAACCTTCCTAACAGAATAAACTAGATTCAGAACCAAGATCTACAGGGGAAAAAAAAAAAGAAAGAAAAGAAAAAAGTAATAATGTAAATTTAAAAAGAAAAAGAAAAAAAGGAACAGAACGAACTAGAGTTCAGGTCTCCTGTCTCCAAACTCTTTCCAGAATCTGTCTGTTGATACCTACATGGAAAGAAATGTTTGGGTCAGTCATTCTTCGGGTGTCTGGAGTAGGAGAAAGGAATATTGCCTCCACAGGAAACAGAGACTGTAGACGCCTCTATTTGGTGGTTCATGTGTTAAGGTAATAGAGCGGTAGAAAGAGCACTAGATTATGTGAGTCAGCAAATCTGAATTTGAATTTTGATTCAACCATTACCTATGTAACCTTGGATGAGTGACATCGCATATCTGGGTCTTAGTTTTCATTTATTTAAAAAATAATAAATAGGATATCAAGTTTCTGAGAAGACAACTCATAGATTTCAAGAGAATTTCAAAGGAACCTGTCAACACCAGCATCCCAAAATTAAGAACTACTGAACAAAATGATCTGCCAAGTCCTTTGAGCCCTGGCATTTTAACTTCCAACTCTAGTGCTATTTCTCAATTAGAGATTGTGGATTTATGATTTATTCACCAACTAAGTATTAGAACCCTCCAAATCAGCTGGTATTAGCCTTCACACTAGTTAAACAATAATCAGGACCAGGGGCGATGGCTCACACCTGTAACCCTAGCACTCTGGGAGGCCGAGGTGGGAGGATTGCTTGAGTTCAGGAGTTCAAGACCAGCCTGAGCAAGAGCAAGACCCTGTTTCTACTAAACATAGAAAAAATTAGCCGGGTGTGGTGGCAAGCACCTGTGGTCCCAGCTACTTGGGAGGCTGAGACAAGAGAATAGCTTTAGCCCCTGAGTTTGAGGTTGCTATGAGCTAGGCTGACGCCACAGTACTCTAGCCCGGGCAACAGAGCAGAACTCTGTCTCAAATAAAATAAAATAAAAACCACAATAATCAGAATGATAAACAAAGGTTTTATAAACTTTGTAAATGATTTCTCGTTCTCTGAAAATCTTCTCTCTTGCCGCAATAAAAGATCTGTCATCTCCAAATTCTCAATTTCCAGACTGAGAGTCTACATAGATTGGACTAATTGGATAATTTCTAGGTCTTCATTTTGTCTCATAGACTTATTTCTTTCCATATCCTCAATCAATTCACCCTTCTGCTTCAATTTACTTGACATATTCTTTGCTCCTAAGTGTTCCGGAATCTAGACAGAGGTTGAAATCGAAGGTCAGTCTCATAACTTAGAATCATTTTTTCTCTTTCAGGAAAAGGCCCACTGAGTTGCTTGTCCTGTGTGTGGAGTTATCACCTCATGGGAGGAATCTGTGACTCGGACTGTGTCCCAGGGGAATACAGAGTGGGAGAGGTACTAAGAGCTGGGGGGAGCAGGCCTATCACCCTCTCTGGAAAGAAACATGAGCTCAGTTCCTGCCTGTTGTTCTGGGCAGTCAGAAAGTCCTGAAATTCTTACACTCACTATAGTTTAGGCTTAATATTTTAAAATCTTCTCCCTTTGCATCATGGAATAATGGCACTATACACTATAGTCTTAACTTTAATCAAAGGGACTGAGCAGATCTAAAATAAATAACGGGGCAGTTAGGTACTGAGGGACCCATAATGAGGAGGCCCTACATTTGTTGTTCACGACTATAGAAGTTTCAGTCTACATAGGAATATTATGTCAGAAATCGACTGTCTTCTCTTATCCCTCTGCATCTAAACGAAACGTGAGTAATGTAGAAACCACACAGCTGATGGTGATCTTTCATTTCCTCTATCCCTTCACAGTGTGTGAAGAAGGATTCAGGCCAGGCATGGTGGCTCACAACTATAATCCCAGCACTTTGGGAGGCCAAGGTGGGAGGGTTGCTGGAGGCTAGAAATTCGAGACCAGCCTGGGCAACATAGTGAGACACCCCATCTCTACAAAAAATTTAAAAATTAGCCAGGCCTAGGTGTGTGCATCTGTAGTCCCAGCTACTTGGGAGGCTGAGGCAAGAGGATCACGTAAGCCCAGGAGTTCAAAGTTGCAGTGAGCTATGATCAGTTCACTGCACTCCAGCCTGGGTGACAGAGTGAGACCCTGTCTCAAAAAAGAAAAAAGAAAGAAAGAAAGATTCATTAGCTTGCGTAGAAGTCATGGATTTTCTGAGTCTGCTAATTTCTCGATTGTATTTTCAAACTTTAAAAAATAAATCTCTTGGCCGGGCGCGGTGGCTCACGCCTGTAATTCTAGCTCTCTGGGAGGCTGAGGCAGGCGGATTGCTCAAGGTCAGGAGTTTGAAACCAGCCTGAGCAAGAGCGAGACCCCGTCTCTACTATAAATAGAAAAAAAATTAATTGGCCAACTAATATATATAGAAAAAATGAGCCGGGCATGGTGGTGCATGCCTGTAGTCCCAGCTACTCAGGAGGCTGAGGCAGGAGGATTGCTTGAGCCCAGGAGTTTGAGGTTGCTGTGAGCTAGGCTGACGCCATGGCACTCACTCTAGCCTGGGCAACAAAGTAAGACTCTGTCTCAAAAAATAAATAAATAAATAAAATAAAATAAATCTCTCCATGATGAAATTAACACAAACCAGCATAGTCTCATATGAGCTCTCTTTAAATTCTGACAACAGTCCTCATTATAGTTTGAAGAAACTGAGGCTCCAAGAGGTTAAATAATTTGCCAAAGATCATATGATTATTTCCTTATGTCTCAATGGGAAAAAACAGATCACATGAATAGTAACAAAGCTGGGACTGAACCTGGGGGAGTGGGTGAGATAACAGCGGAGATGCAGGATTGGATGAGACAGTAACAGCTGAGAAAGCACCTTAACAGCACCTGAAACACACCAAGGTGCTCAGCAAAGGCGATTTCCATTCCTTGTCGTTTTCTATTATGCCATATTTCCAAAGTGACAGAAATAAAACAGGAAAGTCTCTTCCCTAACCCACGTTTCCAGCACCAGTCAAGGAGCAACTTGTCAGGAGGAAGCCACTTTCTTCTCCTCCCTTGACTCTTGCCCCAATGAGATTTAACTGGTTTAGATACAAAGTCACAACTTGCTCTGGGGCTGGGCTGCAGGAATCCAGTACTAACCACAGAGGCCAAGCAGGTAACTCGCATGACTGAGAGAGATCGCTGGGTCAAAGAAAACCATACCTCAAGTTTGAAGAAAAGGGGAAACTGATCACCTACGTGTTGATGACGTAACATCAAGTGCTGGGGACCATATCACATAGGAGAGCAAAAAAGAGGGGGGGGGGCTGCTGCCACTCTGCTCTATGACGTTGCCATGTGGGAGTGATGAATCCAGTGTTGACAGGTCTTCTGGTTTTGAAAGAGAAATTAGGAACTGATTTAAATGGGAAATATCCCACTTTTGAAGTGTGGGAAATGAATGCAAAATGTATTAACACATTGACTACCACACTAGAAAAAAGAATTTTTTCCCTGGGGCCATGGTGTTTTATTAAAACAAAATGATTATTTCTAATTTGTCATTTTTTATTGTTTTCTGTGCATGAGTTATATGCAACACAATCCACTTTTTTCTTTTTTTTTGAGACAGAGTCTCACTCTGTTGCCCTGAGTAGAGTGCCATGGCGTTTTTGGTTTTTTCTTGAGACAGAGTCTCACTCTGTTGCCCAGGCTAGAGTGCTGTGGCATCAACCTAGCTCACAGCAACCTCAAACTCCTGGGCTCAAGCAATCCTTCTGCCTCAGCCTCCCGAGTAGCTGGGACTACAGGCACGCACCACCATGCCTGGCTAATTTTTCTATTTTTGATAGACACGGGGTCTCACTCTTACTCAAGCTGGTCTCGAACTCCTGAGCTCAAGCAATCCTCCCCCTCGGCCTCCCAGAGTGCTAGGAGCCACCGTGCCCAGCCCCACGATTTTTAGAATTAAATTGGCAGTATTAATTGTAAAAGTGGGAACACCAACAAGTAAGATTTTCATGAACCAACTGCAGGGTTTTGCTTCACGAGGCCCCAGCTCAAAACTAGCATGAGTTAAATACAACTCACATGGCAGTCAAAACGTTAAACTGTCAATGAAAATCAACGTAGTATGGGCCAGACAAAACTAGTCCTTCACCTGAACTGTACTTGAGCACATGAGCTGTCAGTTTGTAACCCAAAATATTCTAGAAGCCTGTTCTCCCGCTATGGGTACCAGCAGATCTCAGAGGTCAGGGTTGGTTCCATCCAATCACAGACAGCTAGTTCTGTCTTTCACCACATGCCTCCCTCCTTACTGACACAAGATGGAATGCCCATCTGGGAACTCCAGTGCCTTGTTAAACCCTCTGCCCTCAAAACCAACTTCCTGATTGTTCTTAACAGGGAGAGAAATTTAACTGCGAAAAATGCCACGAGAGCTGCATGAACTGCAAGGGACCTGGCGCCAAGAACTGCACCGTCTGCCCCGCCAACCTGCTGCTGCTCATGGATGAGAGCCGCTGCCTCCGCTGTTGCAACACCTCGGATCCCGCCCACGCCCAGGAGTGCTGCGACTGCCAGGACACCACGGGTGAGGGGAGAGCAGGGGCAGCCTGCAATGAAGGGCGTGTCCTCAGGAAGCTGATGGGAGCAGAGGGAGAGGAGGAAAGTTCAGGAATATCAATACAGCTACCTTTCACTGAGTGCCTGCTGTGTGTCTTCTGTGCTTGAGCCTTCATGGCCACTGTCTCACTTCACAAGTGGATATTATCAATCCCATTTTACAGATGAGGAGACTGAGGCTCCACGGGTTTGATTAGCATGCTCACGTTCACACCAATATCAAAAGGCTCATTTAGGAATTCGATCCTCTGTTGCCTCCAACATCAGAGCTCAAGCAGAGCTAGATTTTTATCTTTATAAATTTACTTTGTTCTTTTTTTTTTCCCCCATCCTTTCTTCCTGTAAATAAAAGGAAAAGAATCAACCATCAAGGAAGCTGATGCCAATATTATCTTGATTCTGTTGAGAGTCATTCTATGGAAGTCAGCTCAAATCTAGGCCTCCCAGTAGAGACTTACAGCATTTTAGAAACAAGCTTCTATTGAAGGACAAAAAGAAATAAACCTTTTACCAAGTCCCAGTCCCACAATTGACTTCCATATCCAACCCCTTCCATGTAGGTACTTGGTTCTCATCAGCCAGAAACTTAAATAGATCCTGAATGGAGTGATTCCTTCTGAAAACAAAACATATATCCTAAAAATGTACTCTCTAGGTCAGAAACAGATCATTTCCTTGGGGTCCAGACATACCATTGCCTGACAAAAAGAGAAGTCATATTTATGGGAATCTGTCCATTTGTAAGTAAAGAAAATCCCAGACCCATAACTGCTACCAGCCATTTCTCTTTCATTTTTGATCAGCCTTTCCAATTAGGTTCTAAGCACCGTCTTTCCACATACTAATTATTTCCTTCTTTCATTTTCTCACCACATTAGCAGCTGGTTTTTCCAGCTCTTCACACACAACCACCCTCAGGGTCTGATTGTCTTAATATCCATGCTGTGTCAGCTAAGGATAATAACCCTCACTGCACCAATTGCCTTTAAACGAAACCAGAAGTGTGTTCGTGTGGGATGCAAAGTTTCTGAAAGCCTGTATCAACTAAGAACTAGCTAGCTTTCCTGGTCCCTCTGTGACTCCTGAGGAGCCAACTGGGGTGACTCTGCAAAAATCTAAACACTTTTGATTACCTGATCTTCCTTTCCTGAGATCTGTGCAAGGAAACCAGGTCTCAAAGGCTGGACCCTGACTCTGCAGTCCTAATATGGAGAATAGTAAGTAAGGAGTAATTGCATATGGCACCCTAGTAACTGAAACATCCAAAAGGTCTTTTATTGATTCTATAGCTCCAGACAGTATTTATCTCAAAGTACCACTCACAGATTGCTTATCAATTTCTCCAGTGCTCTAGTATCTCCTCCAGGGAAAAATTCTGTGCTGATATTGCTAATGATGAATCCAATAATGATAGTGCTATTACTTTAGAAGAGACAATTCAGTCCGATGGGTAAAATCCCGTGAGAATGAAAGTGATGATAAAATAGAAAACTTGTCTAGCATTAGCAAACACGAGAAAGAAATAGTGGCGATGAACATCAGATCTAGTCGATCATTATTTAATAAGCAAAAATCATTACACCTGGCTGCAGTATTATATTTATTAACCTAGTATACAGAATGTACCTAGAATCTCTCATATAAGTATCCTTTGAACAAGGCAGATCCAAGTGGTTCAAAAAATATTTATAGAAAACCTACTGTGCATTTCAACTCGTGCATCCAACATGGCCTGATAGGTTTTTTTCTCTAGTTCTTTCATACTCTCTTTCACACTCACATGTAGTGAGTTAGAGAAAAGAAAAAAAATATATATATATTAAAAATATATATATATTACCCAATATATATATTACCATACTACCTGGAAAAAAATGAGAGAAAGGTAAGAAAAATGAGCAAAAAGTGAGAAAAATGAGCTTATTGCTAAAGTTATGGTTGAATCCTTCCTTCTCTGACATCGTTTTGATTATTCCATGTTTCCAATCAAGGCATCAAAACAGAGTTTGATGGACGACAGGAGCCAGAGCTCCTGACTTTAGAAACCTTGATTAGGATATGAAATCTTCCATCACTCAAGTTGTTTTTTTGTTTTTGTTTCTTTTTGAGACAGAGTCTCACTCTCTTGCCCTGGTTAGAGTGCCATGGCGTCAGCCTAGCTCACAGCAACCTCCAATTCCTGGGCTCAGGGGATCCTCCTGCCTCAGCCTCTCAGGTAGCTGGGACTACAAGCACACACCACCGTGCCCAGCTAATTTTTTTCTATTTTTTTTTTAGTTGTTTGGCTAATTTCTATTTTATGGTAGAGAAGGGGTCTCGCTCTTGCTCAGGACGATCTCGAACTCCTGAGCTCAAGCAATCCTCTGGCCTCCGCCTCCCAGAGTGCTAGGATTACAGATGTGAGCCACTGCGCCTGGCCTGCTCAAGTTGTTAGTCAGGATTTAAAGATAGTTATTGTTTTTCTGCTAGGCTGAGGCTACAAAACTTCAAGAAGCCGAAAAACAGTTGTCAGAACATTTTATCCTAGTGTCTCGAATCTGCAGCATGGAGCTAGAATTCCTAGATTTGAATTCTGATTGTTCCACAAACAAGGTCTTGTCTCTGACAGTGTGACAATTCACTTCCTCTCCATGGGCTTTAGTTTCCTCAACTGCCAAAAACAAATTTACCTGAGTAGTTTCTAAGGCCCTACATGGTTATAAGAGTCAGTGGTTTTTAAAAATTCTCTGCTTCTGCCTTTGAACGGTGGGACAGTCATGTTGGACCAGCCTGGGGAAAGGACTTAATCTTAGAAAAAAATTGGAGTTGGGAGAGAAAATAGAGCATTTAGCAATAACTAAAAACTTGGCCCAGGCCAGGCATGGTGGCTCACGCCTGTAATCCTAGCACTCTGGGAAGCCGAGGTGAGCGGATCACTCAAGGTCAGGAGTTCAAAACCAGCCTGAGCAAGAAAGAGAGACCCTGTCTCTACCAAAAATAGAATGATATTAATTGACCAGCTAAAATATATATAAAACATTAGCCAGGCCGGCATGGTGGCTCGCACCTGTAATCCTAGCACTTTGGGAGGACGAGGCGGGTGGATCGCTCAAGGTCAGGAGTTCGAAACCAGCCTGAGCAAGAGCTAGACCCCGTGTCTAGCAAAAATAGAAAGAAATTAATTGACCAACTAAAAATATATAGAGAAAAAATTAGCCAGGCATGGTGGCATATGCCTGTAGTCTCAGCTACTCAGGAGGCTGAGGCAGAAGGATCGCTTGAGCCCAGGAGTTTGAGGTTGCTGTGAGCTAGGCTGACACCATAGCATTCTAGCCGGGGCAACAGAGTGAGACTCTGTCTCAAAAAAAAACAAAAAACAACCTTGGCCCAATATGAAATATTTTCTCGAGAGAAAAATAGAAGAATCAATTGCTAAGGTCGGGCACTTAGAGACTGACCCATGAGATATGGGAATAAGGGGACTCTTTGGACCTCAGGCTGACCTTCTATGTAGAAGGATTTGTTGGTTTCATCAGACATAGGCTAGGACTCTCGTGGGGTGCACGCTGCAGTCTGTAGAGCGGTGTGCCCTCTGAGAACGCCGGAGACGGTGATTCTACCATTTGAGACTGGAAAAGTAAAGGGGGAGTTCTTTACTGCAGAAACCAATTTTCCCTGTGGCATTTCTTCTCTCCTACTCTTTCTCTCCCTTCTTCCAACAGACGAGTGTATCCTTCGAACAAGTGGGGTTGGTCCTGCAGCCGATCGCACCAAGACAGGTCTGCTCATCACCTCCACCATCATGCTGGTGCTCCTGCTTGGGGCGGCCGTGCTCGTCTGGAGGAAATCTCGGGGCAGAGTCCAGCCAGCAGAAAAGTCCGGCTATGAAAAGCTGACTGACCCCAACAAGTCTTACTCCTATAAGAGCAGCTATCGAGAGAGCACCAGCTTTGAAGAGGACCAGGTGATCGAGTACAGGGACCGGGACTACGATGAGGATGATGATGATGACATCGTCTACATGGGCCAAGATGGCACCGTCTACCGGAAATTTAAGTATGGGCTGCTGAATGATGATGAAGAAGATGAGCTGGAATATGATGATGAGAGTTACTCCTACCAGTAAATGGACGCCTCCCACCCCATTGCACTGGCAGGCCTACCTGTGTGCATTACACACCAGGCTGAGGCCTGAGTGTCAGTATTTGTCTTCTTAAGCATGAGTCCAAATAGAATATGTAAGGAATATTTTGTTCTTCTTTTGAGTGGCTAGACTCAATGAACAGCTCCCATTCAACCATAATTAAGCAGCAAGGATAAAATTCGGAGGCATTTTCCTCAAAACAATATGTCAAGACACAAAATGCAAGAAGGGAAAACAAGTGAGATTTGCACAAACTCTTTTATGTGATTAAAAACAAAAACGGCACAGTGCATCTATAGAAATTCTGTTTCCAAACTGTATTATACAGACGTCTACTGCCTTCTGGTATTCTGATTTTTCTTTAATTAATTATGGGGGTAATCGGGGTGTGAAAGAGTTGTTGGGCTTGGGGGGATTTTTTCTACCCCTTTAGTTGTTTGTAGGTAGAGATTTGTTTTGTAAGAGCCAAGAAAAGAGAGTTCTTCTCAACTGAGTCCAGACCGCTCCAGGTGAGCAGAAGAAACCAACCCTGCTGAAATTGCTCAGGATTTATTTAGAGTTGAGGAAAGAAAAGAGAAGTAGCATCATCGCTGAGGAACCATGAGTTCCCCGGGGCTCTGGTTCCCCTGCAGTAATCCAGAGTCATCGTGATTCTAAGGGCAGGGGAAACTCAGGCAGGGGACAGGCCACAGCAAGCCCAGGGAGAAAGAAATCACCAAGTTTTCAAGAATTGTACCCTCATGATTTTCTGAGACCTTTTCTTGTAGGAAACATCATCTAAGACAACAAGTAATAATAATTAAAAAAAAATAAAATGGCAGGTTAACCTAACATAAAATGGGATAAAATGACAAAAGCTTCATCTACTCTGAAAGAAGACTTAACTAATAAATTAGAAGAGCTTTCTTTCATCAACAACCTGTCACAAAACCGTGAACTCTCCATAGAAAGAGCTAGAGTAAAGTCTAATATGGAAAAAATCCCAATGTGCTGCTCACAAGCTGCTGGCAGCAGCCCACCCTTCCAGCACTGCTCATCACTGTGTTTTTTGTTTCTAGACTTCCTAGACCACCCTTTTCCCACTCCCCTGTCAGGTGCTCAGTGGGACTCATGCACCTGGGGACAGTTTTTCTGCAGATAGTAATAACCGAGAAAAGAGCTGTTGCTATGCAAAATTATGCAAGCAAGCCCTCACCTTGTCAAAGCAGAAGTTACAGGTAGTACTTAGGAGTGGAATACCAGAAAGTGAAAGTGACATTTTTTGATGATGATGGTGATAATCATAATAAAATTTATTACACACCCACTGTGTACCGGGTACTGAGTTAAATAATTCCTTTAAAAAAAAAACACTCCACTTACCCACTTAATATTTACCATCGCTCTGTGAGGTTGCTATCTTTATTTCCCTACTTTTATAGGAAAGCTGAGGCTTCCAAGAGGTTAAGTAACTAGTCCAAGGTCATGAAAAGCTAATCAAGATTCAAGGAACAAGAACAACCCTAAAAAATAAAAGAAAAAAAGAATGACACTAAAGCAGATCTTCTTATGTCTTTGCTATGCTGACATAAGGTGGGAAAAAAGGTACCCTAAATGTGACAAAGCCATGTCCATTATTTTATTCTGTAATATCAACATTCCATCTGGCAGTTCTATGATCTTTATTCATGCATTTTCTTTTTAGTTTAAACATAACGTAACACTGACATAGGATATCTTCATGAGGAAGTCTTCGGTTTACTGAAGGCTTGTGTTTCTTTAGAAAAAAGTTCCTAAAACTAGAATCAGCAAACAGTCTCTGGAAAAAGCCAGGCAGTAAATACCTTAGGCTTTGTGGGCCAAAAGGTCTCTGTCATAAATACTCAGCTCTGTTTTCTTTTCTTTTTTTTTTTCTTTTATTTCAAAATATTAGGAGGGTATAAATGTTTTTTGATTACATGGATCACTTTTGCAATGCTTGAGTCATAACTGTAAGTGTGCCTGTCACTCAGATAGTGTACATTGTACTGGTTAGGTAGGTTTTTGCCCATCTCCTCTGACCCCTCCCTCAGCTCTCCTTTCATAGCATGAATGTAGCTAGAACATAATGCATGGGTGAATTGTGTTCCAATAAAACTTTATTTATGGACACTGAAATTTGAATTTCAGATAATTTCCACAAATCATAAAATTGTATTCTCCTTTTGATTTTTTTTCAACCATTTAAAAATGTAAAAACTATTCTTAGCTCATGGCAGTCCAAAAACAGGTGATGGGCCAGATTTGGCCAACAGGCTGTAGTTTGCTGACTTTGTCTTAAACAATTTCTCCAGAGATCATGTATATCACATACACATATGACATACTTCCAGAAATTTTCATCACTTAAAAGTTTTTTTAGAAAATATGTCCAAATGAGCTGCCCAGAGAGAGCACTTTTTTTTTAAATTGGGGTTTTATTTTTGTGAAGACGGGGGTCTCACTATGTTGCCCAGATTGGTCTCAAACTTCTAACCTCAAGCAATTCTCCCACCTCAGCCTCTCAAAGTGCTGGGATTACAAGCCTGAGACACCAAGCCTGACCTGATCATTTAAAATTATCTCTTCAAAATCTATTTGAAGCCCTGATAGTTCTCTTTTCAATTCTTAAAAACATATAAAAATACATATAAGATAGCTATCATATCAATGGAAGAATTTCTTATCCCTGAAATTACAGAGTTAGCTTACAGAAAACAAGTAATTTTGTTTATACTGTGTTGTTCATCTTCCTTGATAATTTTAAAGCTCTGACAGACTGAATTTGACATTTCTTTCTGTAGCCTGGAAATCGTTTTCCAAGAAAAGAAAAACCTGTTTTTATGATACACAGTTAAAGGTTGAATGAGGTCAAGATGACCTTGAATACTAAGAAAAATTGTGCCGTTACTCTATGTGACCTGCAATGAAAAGAAGGCTCATGCTTGTGTATTGGCGAGATTTGACATCTTTCCTTCTTTGTTCTTAGTCATGCGACATTATTGTCAGACTGCTTTTGAATACTATGGGAACAACAATGTCTAAATGGATAAATACATGGTTGGAAAACAAAGTCACCTTTGGTTTTCTGTTTGCAAATAAATTGGAAATATTAAGAGAATCCTTATAGACTGGAAATACACCCAGAGACTGGGTTAAAGCTGAGTAGGTTCTGGTTCATAGAAAGTAATTTTAAAATTGGAAATAAAATTAAATCAAGACCAGACAATGCTGTGGAGACTTGCTTATTAAAGAACCGTTTCTGGGCATATTTTACGTGCTTTATTTATGCTTTACCAGGTAAAAGACACAAAACAATAAAAGAGTGCTGTTTTTCTTTTTATCTGTCTACATCCAATGACTAAGCTAGTCTTATCAATTACGAATTTTCTCTCCTAAACATCAATTCAATCTGTCTTCCAGCCTTATCACCGCTGCCTCAGTCAGGCCCTCAGTCTTTCTCATCTGCGTTGATCCTTCCGCCCGAACTATTGCTGAATTTCAGTCTCTTTTTCTCCCAATGTATCCTCTACCCCAGGGGTCCCCAAGCTACGGTGAATTGTATAATTATTTCATTATATATTACAATGTAATAATAGTAGAAATAAAGTGCACAATAAATGTCATGTGCTTGAATCATCCCAAAACCATCCCCACCCCCCTCACTCCCTGGTCCATAGAAAAAATGTCTTCCATGAAAACAGTCCCTGGTGCCAAAAAAGGTTGGGGACCACTGCTCTATCCTGCTATCCAAGGCATTTCTAAGGTTTATCACACTGTCCCATTCCAGGCTCCCCCTCACCTTACCCTGATTATGACATTCAAAACTTTGCAACATATGGCTACTGCCTCTGTCTGCGGATGTATCACCCCCCAATTTCCTGGCCCTGCATTATTTGCCAGCTTCCCAATATACTCCAAGAGGACTGAATTGCTTCTGGGTTCCCCAGGATAATACCCTGCTATCTCATGTTCTTGGGCACATGTTGTTTACTCTCCCTGGAAAATTCTCCCACCTCGACCAGATGGAAAATTCCTGACCTTCCTTTAAAATCATGTTCCCTTATAGCATCTCCTGGGAGGGCTCCCCTGACTTTCTTGGAGAAGATAATCACTTTCTCACACCTTTGCTCCCTAGACACTGTATGCATATGGTTTTTCACATCACCTTGTGATGTGATTATTTGATTAAATGTCTGTGTCCACTAAAAGACTGGGTAGTCCTTGAGGCAGCTGTTTCCTTTCTAGAACCCAGCACAGTGCCTAGCGCTTGGTAAACAATCAAGAAATATTGATAGAATTGAATTTTAAAAAGACAAGACTCACATATATGAAACAATTAGACATGGTATAGGCCATATATTGTATATGCAGCACATTTCTGTTTGGTCCTGAGTGAGATAACTCAAATTAACACATGTAGGAATAACTGCAAATTAGTGCATGTCGGGATGGTTTCATAGGAAGATTTCTGCTTGAACTTGATTTGAAAAAGTTAAGAGGATGACAAGGGTATACTTTGAAGAAGGCACTGGAGTTGGTAAGTCATTGACCTGACATTTATGATAATAATTATAATAATAATAATAAATCACCAAATATTTGTTAAGAGTCTACCATGTGCCAGGCACCATTCAAGTTACTGGGAAAACAGCAAGTGGGATCCCTGAGACCTTGGACCTCAGAGAACTTGCAATCTAACTGGGGAGGAAAAAGCACTATAAATAACAACCACCATTTTTGAAGCTTTCTATGGTCCAGACATGGTCTTAGGCACTTCACTTGCATGATCTTATTTCCTCCTCACAACGCTGAGGCTCTGAGGTAGGCAACGTGATCCCTCTTCACAAATGAGGAAAGGAGACTTAGTGACGAGACTCAGCTTGCTCTAAGTCAAAGTGTTTGCAAATGGTCAAACTGGGATTTGAATCTAGACTTCCTAGCCCATATTCTTTCTGCTCTACCATTGTGCTGTTAAGCAAGGAATAAACCTAACCTTTGTTAGTAATCCCTGGACTTTGTTTTGGGATTACTTGTGGCTGTGTGGACTTTGCCATGTGTAACAGAGAAAACGGCCTGGAAAAGGGTAAAAATGTTTGCTTTGTTTTTTTTTTTTTTGAGACAGAGTCTCACTTTGTTGCCCAGGCTAGATGAGTGCCGTGGTGCTCAGCTGGCTCACAGCAACCTCAATCTCCGGGCTCAGCGATCCTTCTGCCTCAGCCTCCCGAGTAGCTGGGACTATAGGCATGCGCCACATCCCCGGCTAATTTTTTTTTTGTAATATATATTTTAGTTGGTCATTTAATTTATTTCTATTTTTGGTAGAGACAGGGTCTTGCTCAGGCTGGTTTCGAACTCCTGACCTTGAGCAATCCGCCCGCCTCGGCCTCCCAAAGTGCTAGGATTACAGGCGTGAGCCACCGCGCTCGGCCCTAAAAATGTTTTCTGTCTCTTCAAAACCCCCTCACCCTTTTTGAGAACTAAAACCTATATTCCTGCCTCAGGCCAGCGACTGGGAGGGGCAGGAGAGTGTCCTTTGTTCTTTGTGTCTCAGGAAATGACTCAGGAGAATTGTCCGGGCAGAGGTTACGCATACTGTTTTTTTTTTTTGAGATAGTCTCGCTTTGTTGTCCAGGCTAGAGTGAGTGCCATGGCGTCAGCCTAGCTCACAGCAACCTCAAACTCCTGGGCTCAAGCGATCCTGCCGCCTCAGCCTCCCAAGTAGCTGGGCTACTAATTTTTTCTATATATATATTAGTTGGCCAATTAATTTCTTTGTATTTATATAGAGACGGGGGTCTCTCTCTCGTTCAGGCTGGTTTCTAACTCCTGACCTCCAGTAATCCGCCCGTCTCCGCCTCCCAGAGTGCTGTAATAGGCGTGAGCCACCTCATGCCCCGCCCATGCAGACTGTGTTAGCCAAAAATGGGATTATGAGATTAACCAAAACCTTTAAAAGCTCTGTACATCTGCTCTGAGGCAGGACATTGGTACTCTACGACGGGACTCCGCCAACTTCCTCATTGGCTGGCAATTTAATAAACTCCTCTTTCTTTCTCTTCAAACCACTTGTCCTCGAACTTTTTTTTTTTTTTTTGAGACAGAGGCTCACTTTGTTGCCCAGGCTAGAGTGAGTGCCGTGGCGTCAGCCTAGCTCACAGCAACCTCAAACTCCTGGGCTCAAGCAATCTTCCTGCCTCAGCCTCCCAAGTAGCTGGGACTATAGGCATGCACCACCATGCCCGGCTAATTTTTTCTATATATATCAGTTGGCCAATTAATTTCTTTCTATTTATGGTAGAGACGGGGTCTCACCTTGCTCAGGCTGGTTTTCGAACTCCTGACCTTGAGCAATCCACCCGCCTCGGCCTCCCAGAGAGCTAGGATTACAGGCGTGAGCCACCGCGCCCGGCAGAAAAAAATAATTTTAGTTCCTTCAGAGTAGAGGAGAGGAAAAAAAAAAGTAAGAAAAAAATAATTTTAGGGGACTGTGAACATTAACTATATATAACTATATTTCAATCCATTAAAAAGTATTCATGAGAGGTTCTACCCTATAAAAGAAAGAAAATCTGAAGAATTAAGATTAGATGCCATCGGCCAGGCACAGTGGCTCACCCCTGTAATCCTAGCACTCTGGGAGGTCTAGGGGAGATTGCTCAAGGTCAGTAGTTCAAACCACCTGAGCAAGAGGGAGACCCTGTCTCTTACTAAAATAAGGAAGAAATTAATTGCCAACTAATATATATAGAGAAACTAGCCGAGCATGGTGGCGCCATGCCTATAGTCCAGCTACTTGGGAAGGCTGAGGCAGGAGGATTGCTTGAGCCCAGGAGTTGGAGGTTGCTGTGAGCTAGGCTGATGCCATGGCACTCACTCTAGCCTGGGCAACAAAGGGAGACTCTGTCTCAAAAA